TGGCTCACTGGGCTCAAAGGATAGTAGTAGTTAATGGCTCAATGTCTAGTTGGCAGCTGGTATCAAGTGGGGGTCTTGATACCTACACATTGGGGGTCTTTAAGAGAAGGCTGGATAGGCATCCGGTTGGGGCCCTCTGATCCCAGCGCTCTTTCCTGCCTAGGGCAGGGGGTCGCACTTGATGATCTTTTGAGGTCCCTTCCAACCCTAGCATCTATGAATCTAAGTGGACTGCCCCAGGATTTGGTTCTGAAGCCGGTTTTGTTCAATATCTTCATCAATGACCAGGAAGATGGGATAGAGTGCACCCTCAGCAAGTCTGCAGATGACACCAAACTGGGGAGAGTAGTAAATACGTTGGAGGGTAGGGTAAGGATTCAGAGAGACCTAGATAAATTGGAGGACTGGACCAAAAGAAATCTCATGAGGTTCAATAAGGCAAGGTCCTACACTTAGGATGGAACAATCCCATGTGCCAGTACAGGCTGGGGGCTGACTGGCTGGGCAGCAGCTCTGCAGAAAAGGACCTGGGGGTTACAGTGGACAGTAAGCTGAATATAAGACATCTGCATGCACTTGTTGCCAAGAGGGCTAATGGCTGCATTGGTAGGAGTGTTGCCAACAGATTGAGGGAAGTGGTTCTTCCCCTCTATTCTGCACAGGTGAGGCCACATCTGGAGTCCTGTGTCCAGTTTTGGGCCCCCCACTACAGAAGGGATGTGAACAAATTGGAGAGAGTCCAGTGGAGGACAATGGAAATGGTTAGGGCGCTGGGGCGCATAACTTTCTGAGCAGGGATCTGGGTTTTCCATTTCCCATGGAAAAATGGAGAAAACTGCAGATTTTACACTTTACTGGAGGAAACTGCAGCTTTTTCATTTTACCAGAGAAACCCACGGATTTTGCAGGTTTGCAAAGAGCTCTCTGCAGGGGGCTGGAAGGGAGCAGGAGGAGGGTGGTCAGGCAGGGGGATCCATGTGCATGTACATGGCCCCCAGGCAACCTGGAGAGCAGCTCCCGCAGGTAAATGGTGGGGGGGATTGAGGCTCCCACAGGGAGGGAGGGAGAGAGTTGTACAGGCCTGGGACTGCCCTGGTGAGGCGTCCCCTGTGAGTGCAGCAGCAGCAGCAGGGGCGGCAGTGCTGGGTTATGCTCCACACTGCTGCTGCGTGTGCAGGGGACGCCTCGCCAGGGCAGCGCGAGCTCCCAGCGGCAAGCGCCAGGTTGCACCCGTTGGGCTGTGGAGGCCCTGGGGGAGGGCAGCACGGTGGGGAGCCCAAGCCACGCCAGCCCCATGCAGATCAGGCAGGCAGCAGGGGGGCAGGGAGCCAGGCTCCCTCTGCTACAGAAGCCGCCACCTCCTGTTGGGGCCAGGGGGCTGTGGCCCTGGGTCCCTGGCCCCATAGCCCAGGCAGCTGGGGGGCCTGTTGGGCAGGGCTGGTGGGGCAGGGGGTTGTGGGAGGGAGTTAGGGGCCTTTCATTTTAATCATGGATTTTGGAGTTTTTAATCAGAGAATTTGCACTTGTTTTTAATCAGGGAAAACCACGATCCCTGCTTATGATGGGGAGCCTGAGGGAACTTGGCTTATTTAGTCTGGAGAAGAAAAGACCAAGGGGGGATTAAACAGCTGCCTTCAACTCCCTGAAGGGGGGTTCCAAAGATTGTTCTCGCGGTGGCGGATGGCAGGACAAGGAGCAAGGGGCTCAAGTTGCAGCAAGGGAGGTTTAGGTTGGATATTAGGAAAAAACTCTCTCACTAGAAGGGTGGTGAAGCACTGGAACAGGTTACCCAGAGAGGACATGAAGTCTCCATCCTCGGAGGATTTTATGACCCAGGTAGACAAAGCCTTGGCTGGGATGATCTAGTTGGGGCTGGTCCTGCTCTTAGCAGGGGGCTGGACTAGATGGCCTCCTAAGGTCCCTCATTTTCTATGATTCAGCAAGTCTGAATCATTTCTATGATTCATGTTCCCTGACCAGTGAAGACAATGGCAAAGAAACTAGCCTTCATCATCATCCCAGAAGATAAGGGTCATTTATATTATGCTGGCTAACACCAGCCTATCTTTAGTGTGGTTCCAGTAGACAAATGCCATCTGCCAAGAAGGCAGCAGGCTGCACTTAGTCCCCACTAACAGGGAGAGAAAAAGCAGCAAAAACATTAGACAGAAACATGAATAAAAACTCGTCCCTTGACTGAAAGCTGCTCGAGTGGAGGATCCTGTCTTTTGAGACCATGAGTTCTTCACAGCAGAGGCTGTTCTACATTTGGTGCCTGGTATAACACAAGCACATTGCTGGTGCTTAACTATGGTCTGGTATAATCCACCACTGGCACAGTAGCGGGTTGGAAGGTGGCTCATTCTCCCCATTTGCAGTGGGCAGAAAGGGGCTCTTGGTGGACGTTTTAGGCACAGTTCATATATGGTTATTTAATTCAGTCATGATTTGCCATGTATTATTAATAAACAGCCCCTCCAAGTCTCTGTTGCATTGTTTCCTGCCAATGAATCAACTGCCTTAGGCTGACTCACAACAACGGGACCACAATCAAGACAACTCTAAATCTTAGCGAATGCATGTTTCCTTTGGTCAGCATCCTAGGAGTTTGCCGTGGATATTAAAATGTACATATGTATTTATTTACACTAGAATATCTGCATGCATCATATTCAAGATGCAGGCTAGCAGCCAAGACAAGAGGGTGCTACCATATATCTAAAAATGTCAGTATGAGAAGTGAGGATTTTAGAAAACAAAAATAAACAACCGCAGACCTGTGGCGTGATGCACAGCAGGGTACAGGCTGCACACAGCAAACTCTGGCTGACTGCAAAGCATGCTGCAATGGAAATTGGGCTACAGCCCAAACGTTACTGCAAACTCTGCACCAAAGGTGTTGTATCAAACTAACAGGGCTGACGACATGCTTGATAACCCGGCTTCTCCCTCCCTAGCAATACAATCTAATCACCTCTCTGATACTTTCAGATCAGATTACTGTGCCAACTCTATTATACACAGCTCAGATAAAACATCAAGGCTAAATTTGCTTGTAGGTTCTGCTATTGGGGTTCAAAGTGCACACTGGCAATAAGAAGGAGAAAAACTTTTAAAATCATTTTTAAATACAGCTGCTCCTCGCTTAATGTCGTAGTTACGTTCTTGAAAAATGCCACTAAGTGAAACGATGTTAAGCGAATCCAGTGACGTCACAGCAAATACCTACTAGCAGGCGGCTGCCAAACAACGTTATAACTGAACATTGCACGACTTTAAACAAGTACGGTCTCTAATAGATCAGTGACGTAATAACGAAACAACTTTAACCGGGACAACATTAAGTGAAGAGTACCTGTAATTCCCCGACTCTGTGAACAGCTACGTATGATAAAGAAGAATAACGCGGGGCTTAGAGAGCTAGGCAAATGGCCTATTGATCTCTCTCAACAAGGAATGGGTCTTCCAACCACTTTTAGCCCCTGTACATCCATCCATGCACCTCTCCAAAGCTAAGTCACCTACACATATGTGGTGGCATCGCCCTGCACACGCCCATTGAGGTGACCAAAAGTGCACAGGTGAGCAGTGCATCTGAGCCTGCATCCAGGAAGGAGAATTTGTAGCCCCATTCCACTGAGATCAGCGCCACACACAAGTACAAACCTTGGGTCAGAATAATCATCCCTGACTAAACAACATAGTAGCCTGTCTCTCACTTGTGCCATACGTGAGCCCCTGCTTCGACTCCTGGTTGTTTGATCTCGGTACCTTTAAACCTTTTGTCTTACCTTGCCCGCAAGCCATGCTCCTGTCTGGCTGATGTACTGGCACAAGGGTGGGGAACGCTACGTAAAAGACTGGGTTCTCAAACTGGGGCTGCTCTAACAACATGGGTGGCAGCTGCAGCCTGCATAACTTGAGGACCAGCCTTGCCAATGGAAATGTGGTTTTCTGCTGATGAACTCTTCCTACGTCATCAGTGTGGGAATGGGATGGTATTAATTTGACAGGATAGAGACCATTAAGCAGTTCAGGCTAGCTGCAATCCCACTCTGGTCCCAATAAAAAAACCACCAGCTACAGAAACAAGTCAGAAGGCTGGCTCAATATTTCCCAATTGCTTTGTTTGCTGGGCTGGAACACAGAACCTAGCAGCTCTGATCCAAATGCTGAATGACAGGGCAGTGCACACAATGTCTTTAAAGGAGGAACTGTAAGGCTAGCCAGTGGCTGAAATGCTAATGCTTGCTGGGTCTAGCCACACAGTCCACAGCTCAGTTCATTCCCTAATGGATCGGTGTAACTGTTTTCTTTCAACAAGATGGCCAAGTTTTAAAAGCAAGGAACCTACCACTTAGTGGATATTAACATATTCCAAGTGAAGTCATTATCTCCAGTCCTCAGAGCCAGAATACGGGGAGCTGGGAGTCTGGTTAAGGACAGAGGGCCCCTGCATTCAGATGGTCTTCACTTTAATAATGTGTTTTATGTATAAAAAGGAAACAACATCCCACAGCCGGATGGCAGCACCAGGCACCGCCATGACAAGCTAGTCCTATGCTGCTATGCCGGTGATCATGATCCAGGGCCCAAACTACAGGGCTGGCACCAATTAGCCTCAGGAGGGGAGAAAAGCCAGAAAATAAAGCTTTTCTTCTGGTTCACAGAAGAACCCTCCCCTCTGTGGTGGGAACTTCCTTGAAATTAGTCTTCAAAGGCATAAAGCGGGAATACATTGGGGAGGTTCAAAAGGCACAGTCTCCCACACTTAGGAACTGGGGGAGATAGAGAATGGCACTCTCTCTACAGGGAGCAACGGTGTTTGAGGCTGCCATAAATATTAACTGCTGATCTCTCCCTCCCTTGGGTTTGGAAATATTGATGACGAGGAAGGGAAAGATGCCTGGCTTTAGGGGACTGGGGCATGATCACCCATAGCACACTGGCTCTAAGGGAGGGAAGGACATGAAGGAATACCAACAAAGGCAGTGGCTTACTGTGTTTGTTCTTCTTCTCTGGAAGAGGGGGTGGTTTCTCTGCATCACCCGTAGAGTCCGGAGCAGCAAAAGTAGTAATGAATTCAATCGGTGCTGAAGAGCTCCCTTGCTGGAAGGGCAAGACAGCAGCAAATGGTGGGAAGGGTATCGATGGGAGAGCCCCGGGGTTCTGCGTGTCATCCTCTGAGATATTATCGTACTGCGAAGGGTGCCTCTCATATGAGACCCTGCAGCCCGTGTTATCTGAAGTCTGAGAAGCTGCACTCCTCCTCTTCTTTTCTGGCAAAGCTGGGGGAGTCTCTGTGGACTGCGTTGCTACCAATGTGCTGCAGTGCTCCGGCTGGGGAGAGCTGCCCTGGGGGGTCTGGAAACTATGTCCATGAAAGGGGGAGCCAGACTCGCCCAAGGACTCTGGCAACGGGCTGAGGATACTTGGCCCCTGCTGAGGTATCTGGTCAGTGTTGGAGAGATCCTGCTGCAGGAATTCATAGTCCGGGTCATAGTGATCCGAGTGATCTGCACATAAGAGAAAGGACAACAAAACCCAGTTATTGAGGCCTGATACATTGCCTTCCAGCTGTAACTCTAGCCTCTTTATATATATGTTACTCCCCACCTCATGACATCTTCATTTGCAATATCAAGTCCTCAGTTTAGAGGGCAAACCCTTTACAGCACAGACTCTTCCAACATCATCTGCAAAGTGCCTAGCAGACTCCTTGCAACATCTGAACTCCTTTAGGTTATTAAGCAAACACACTGTAACAACCATCCACCAGATGCATCATTAGAGGGATAATGTTTCTAGAATCACAAATCATCAGGCTGGGAGGGACTTGCAGGGGCATGTACTCCAACCCCTGTAAAGATGCAAGAAGTGCTATTTCTAAACCAGCCCAGACAGGTGCCCATACAGTCTTTTTCTGAAAATCTCCCATGAGGGAGAATCCACCTTCTACACTGATTGTATTTGGTTATTGCATTGTCCTATAATTCCTCCAGGCTTGAAATAAAAGTTTTTTAGCATCATGGAACTGCCCTTTTCTGCTGATGTGCACTAATGAGGCTGAACACAACCACCATTTCAGCTTGTGACCCAGATCATTGGAATTCAGACGTCTGTAGCTGAAAGGCAAGTTAACCAACTCTCTTTGTGCCTTTCCTCACTCTGACGGAATAGCATTTATTCCAGAGCTACTAGCAGCAGCTACACAGAAACCGTTACAGGCGAGACCCTGTTATTCTTCTGCATCACTGCCCTGTGCTGGTGCAAGACGAGAGTGATTTGGGACTTGCCTCCTTACCTAATGTTTCACAGCTTGTGTTGCGGGAGCACTGCCCACTGTCGCGGTCCAGCGAGGAAAGCTGCTCATCCGACTTGCTGAGTTTGCCAATACTATTGCACGGTGAGAGACGAGGGGACTCCCCTCCATAGGAGTGGCTGCCTCCTGACAGCCTCCTCTGGGCGTAACAGTCAACATCAAAATCCTTAGGCAGAAAAAACAACCACCCAAAACAACCTGCATTATTATCAACAGCTTTCTAGGAAGGAAGACAACATCCAAAGCAGAAGTCTCCTCCTGAAAAAGCTTAGACAGTAGGGGGACAATCTGTCAGGTGCACCCTAGTTAGAAAGACCTACATCTGCTACCACACTGTTCATTTGTGCAACTAGGGGGAAGACAAAGAGAGCAACTGCCACAAATGCCGTATAAGCTTGCAGTGCCTCTCCGAGGCATTTGTCATGACCAAACTGGATCAGCATAGCTTTGCTGACTTATCTGCATGTGCTCAGGGGAACCTGAACTGGGTTACTGCCATGTAGGCCTGGTCTAGACAAGAAGGCTTCTGCCTCCATGACAAAAAGCATGTGGAGACATGCCCATGTTTCCTGCTGGCTGCCACACCCATGTCAACAGCTGGTGCCCCCAGGGTGTATCTTTTGTCCTGTTGGTACAGCTATCATAGTGGAGCCACATGGTTCTGGAAGGGGCTGAGGAACCACCAAAGTCATGCAAGGTGTGTACTGCCTGTCATTGCTGTCTGCTGGCATAAGACCTGCAACGTAAACAAGGCCTGCGCTGTTTCCATCTTAGTGTCTATGGCTTTGACTGTGGAGTTTACTAACATTCAAGTTGGCACCTCTATAGTTTCTGTTATCTCCCTTGGGAGGAGTCATGGTGCTGAGTACACATGAGCTGCACGGAGTGCTTGTATTAGCAGCTGATGAGTTGTGCTAGCTGTAATTGTCACCCTATAGATCAATAGCCTCTTGACGGATCAACCAATTGGAGTTAAAAAGCACCATCACACTCAAGTTAAGGGCATTAGCATGTGGACTGGAGTCAAGCTGGGGTAATCTAAGTTATTTCAATCTTTACTGGACAGCTAACATGATGGTGGATCTCTAGAATGGTATATCCATGATAATACAAAATGGCAGACAGTGACCAACACCTTCCCATCTTCCATTCTCCCCAGTACGAGAACCAACAGGGCCCAGAAATACTCAAACCACCTGTGCAGGGTAAATGATTTAATATGCAATTGCTTGGATATGGAGGCATGATCTCTCCAGTGAGCTATATATGGCCCATGGCATACCCAAGAATGGTGGGTCTTGGTAAGATGGGCCTACACGTGCTATTAGCATGCAGCAATAAACTCCAGTACATATTGCACTAGAGTTTATTGCTCCCAGGTATGCTGTTTGAATGCACACCTGTGACTGTAACATGTTGAGCCGGGTTGGAGCAGCCCTGGCTGGCAGCAAGCCAGGGGGTTGGTCAGCCTACCAAGCCTGGGGCTGCTTTTATCCAGCTCAACGTGCTACAGAAGGGCTGGCTGGGGCACCAGGCTGCTCCAGTGTGAGGCTAGCCAGCAGACAGCCCCCACACTGAAGCACCCTCATGTCCCAGCCAGCCAGGGCAGCATCTACTTATATGCTGCTGCGCACAAAAAACATTCTGCAGCAGGACAGTACTTGTGTTTACAATTACTATCTTGCTGGGGAGTGAATTAGTTTCCTGAGGTCTAACAGGGCTGCATGTGTAGACACGAGACATTTACTGCTGAGTTCATTAGTCTACTGCGCAGTAAACAACTCAAGTAGACACACCCAGCATGCTGTTACGGACTGGCATATTCACTCTCTCTACTCTTGAAAGCCTATGATCAGTCACTGTAACAGAGCTTGAGAGAATGCATTATTTAAATGCAACAGCAGCCTTAAGAAATTGAACTGATGCAAGTTATTTATTACATGATGCTTTACACTTATGAATCTCCTCTTCATGGAAAAACGTAACTCTTCTTTAAACAAGGCTGTTTAGCAAGAGAAGTGTGCTGTGAATCGTAGAGATGAAGGCAGCAGTGCTTCTTTCAGCTCCCCCTACATTCCAGGGCGCGATTCCATTGGTTTTAAAGGGATGAAGCTATTACCTGTCTGTTGATTCCAATAGGCAGACTGGATCCACTAGTGGCTCGACTCATTGGTGCTACTACTGCCACTCTGGTAGGGGAAGGTGCCGACTGCCTTTTTTTAGGGGGCAATGCTGGAGGAGGGCTGCAAGACACAAGGACACAGGTATTTCATATACTTTGTTAGCAAAAGGTTTCTTGGAGACTCCAGGAGACTGAGAACAGGTTTTTACTGTCACATCGTTTTAGGGCTTCTTGCCAAGAGCTGGGTGGCAATGTTTCAGCAATCTATTTTTCTAAACCCTGAAATTTTTCACAGAACAGGAAAGTAGCTCTTATCACAATCAATTTATGCACCATTACTCAAAAGAGGAGATGGTTGTCATGCTCTCCCACAGTCTATACTGTGAGGGTCTATATTTTGGCACTGGGACAAAGTTGGGAAATGCCCATCTCTCATTACTTAAGACAGCCACTTCCCAGTACATGGGAGAGCTCCCTGTAGTTTTATATATTGTTTTACATGCTGCTCCTAAGTCCAGGAACTCTCAAACCTGCCTGGTCTCAATTTGTATGCTCATAGCCTCTTTCTAAAACATACTAGAACCTTTCAGAGTAAAGAGAATTTAAAACTACCCAGAAACAAGATTCTTACTGCTAACCACAGCCAAAATCCCTATTTCCACATAACCATGACACATTTTCATACCACCCATTTTTATTAAAACTGTCAGGTAAAACTGTAGTAGAAACACACCAAAACCTCTCAAAACCTCGGGGTCTTATTCCTTCTCAGAAAAAGAGTGCAGAAACATTTCTTTGGTTAGTAGTAAGAGTGATGACAATGCACAGCTGTATCTTTTCATCAGTATTTAACCTGCTAAACAATGCACAACTATCTGCGTGCAGATTCAAGCGTGATAACACGCCTGCTGAAATTAGCCCGTTACCTTTGGCTTCAATGGAAACTGATCACACCCTATCTACAACTAACACACAGTGCAGAAAAGTATTATCCAAACAAGGCATTCGTATCTTTTAAATGAGAATACTTTGCACTAACATGGTGCCTTTCATCCAGGGATCTCAAAGCCCTTTAAAGAAGTTATCCCCAAATTTCAAACAGATAGAGGAAGGTACAGAGAGGCAAAATAACTTGCTTAAACTCAGACAGCAAGGCAGAGGCAGAGTAACCCTAGACTCTCAGCCCTTATTCTGTCAATAGGCAGTTCTGACTTCCCTCCTCAGATGAAGGTCCTGAAAGTTCCCTTTAGAGGCATCACTAGGCAGTCTATATACAGGAAAGGATACATAAAAAAAACAGCTGGCTGATGGAGACAAGAGATATCCTAGAGACAGATGGCTTGGGAGCATTACCTGTTTTCTGCCACACGAATGCAGGGTAGAGGGGGTTTGGGAGGGGCAACCTCTTCATCCATGGAGTCAGTCAGTATCTCTGTAGACTGAGTCAGACCAGTTGTCTTGTTGAGAATTTCCATCTCTCGGTCTGTCAGGGGAAGCTCTGATGCACTGTAAATATCACACGATATATATATATATATATATATTTCTTTTTTTACCACACAGAGGAGCATGTGCACACATACATGCATGTGCACGTGCTATTATTTATTACTGTAAGGTATGCCTATGGCCTTCAAGCAAAACTCCACTTGTATCGACACTAAAATGTATTGACACTTGTATGATTGCAGCAGCCATGCACATTTTTATTGCCAAATTCGGGATCCCTCATTCACGCTGAGAATATTTTATGCCTCAAGTACTTCCACTGTGAATAGGGCTACCCGAGGAATACAATGCTATTACCATGTGCAGAAGTATATCAGATACCGGGCCTGAAATACTTAGCTATTAGGGGGAAGACACAAGCCCATGTGGAACTACCACACAAGACACATACACGTGCTAAGGCCCCCAAATGAAGTATTTCCTGGTGACTCACCTGTCAGATTTACACGTTGGCAAACTTGTTTTAACTGGGCTTGTGGGAGAGGGATGGTCCTGCTTCTCTTTCATGAGTTTAACCAGCTCCTTAAAAAAAAAGGGTGGGGGGGGGAGCATGGGTAGAAAAATAAAGAGACAAAGGATAAATTTGATGGCACTCTGTTAAAAAGCAGCACATTAAACCACACAGAGACACAGCAACTTCTACCCTGAGAAAGCCATTTGGAGCACTGTGTCCTGGTACCCATCCTCACCAGAACATATAAGGTTCAGGAAGGCTGCTGCTAGGAAGGGAGGAAGGAGTGAGGTTTTCTCTGCACTGTCCGCTGCTAACTGAGATTCTTCCCCTGCAAACTTTTCAGCAGCTCTCAACAGGGAGACCAACGTACTTGGCTTTTTCATTTTTCTGATTTCCAACACAATTCTTAGGTTTCTGTCTGCTGATGCCCAGGATATGTCCTGAAATTTTGAAACTGCCCAAATGTTACCGCATTGTATGTATAAAGCCAGTGAACTGCCATCCAAACTTGGGGAGGGCCTTACTTTGCTCAGCGAATAAAAGAATTATAGACCTGTGTTAGCATCTATAATTGTTTAAATATGTGCAAATATTTAAAAAATATATGATTTAGGTTTTCTGCAAGGTTGCCTTCCACCTGGAGTTAAATTTGAGGGCATTTGTTACAAGGCCTGCCTCCAGGGCCTCCCTTAAATACTACAATTTTGGAACTCCCAGAAACATTTAAAGTACTACTGTACTGTCTGTCTGGCTAAAGTAGATAAGACTGCGGATAAAGAGATAAAGGCATGATAATCCTTGACTTTAAGTCTGCCAGCAGTCCAAACAACGATCACTCATGCTCACACAATGCCATAAGAGCATAGAGAGCATTGTATGGATGTTTCAGGGAGGCAAACAGATCCATTCCTCAAAGTTATCAACATGCACCTCGTTACAATCAAACTGGATAACAAGCAGTGTTGGCAGATCACGACTCCCCTGAGCTTTATTCCAAGGGAAGCTGCAAAGGACCACCTTTTTTTTTTTTTTTAAACAATCTGAAATTCAGTGTAAGCTTTCATTGACATTCAGCTGTCTTCACATCCAAATCTGCCGAGTTAGGAAACAGATGTCAGAGTTTCATTAGACGCAAGTAATCATGATCAGAATATCATCATCATCATCTGACTGCAGAAGAGACCTTCCTAATGAGCACAAAAGCTAGACTTCCAAAGGAAAACAAAGGCCACGGGGGAGCAACAGGAAACAGGGCAGCATACATGGTGGTGTGTGTAGACCTGTTGCCCGTTTCACCAAGACAATGTGCCCAGTGCAAGGTTGCCTTTGCCTTTGGCAGTTGTATTTGTGTGTTTGGCCCAGCTCATGCTCAAGAAATGGCTTACCTTGTGTAAGACTAGACCTCTCTCAATAGCAGAGAAAAAGAGGCAGCTTCAGTGAGGTTATCCTGGGAAATCTCATACATGCTCAATGAAACAGACTGTAGAAGCAGATAGGGCATGAGTGCTTGACATGGCTAGGGTTATGGACTTACTCCTCTCCTGTGTAGACAGAAGAGGCCTTGAGGGAAGCGAAGACTTCTGTGAGGAGGGCTTGACTTGTTGGACAAGGATAAAAGATAAGGTCTGGGATTAAGGGAAATGCTCTGACCACCGTTAGCCTCTTTTCTAGCATGCTGCAGCCCTCATGCTAGGCAGACCACATATCAAAGTGTCAGTAATCTGAATGGGGTAACAACAGAGTGGCAGGACTTGCGACTGTATCTATGACGCCTATGGTGCTGATGTACATTGGAGATACAGTACAAAAGCCATAAAAACCAGGTCCTTCTTTTTCAGAGACAGTGCAAAGCCAACACGAACACTGAGCTAACCTTAAATTTTTCTGCCGAATGCCCTCTCCTCTCCTGCTAACTGTGGGCAGGAAGAAGTAGTTTTAACTAACCTTTTAACTGCTTCACCCCCATGCCCTGGTATCTGGTAGCACATTCTTGGACCTGTGCAATGAAGCTGGAGTACAAGGAGAACTCACAAAGGGGAACAGATTTAGGAACGTACTAGTCAAAGCTAATGTACATGCCAGGCCTCCTCCCACAGCCCACGCAGTATGCACCAGAGGAAAAGAAATCTAAAATTAACTCCACCTTTCGTTTAGCTTTGCAGTTGCCTTCTAACATTTTCATAGCAGATCTTGACCAGGGCAAGTGTGATGAGATGATGACAGTGGAGAATAGACCATCAGTCTCCCAGCTCCTCTAGATCCCAGTGAACCCATCCTCATCTCCCTACTAGTTCTCACCTCGTACTACAGAAAGCAAGCCACCCATTAAAGGGATACCATGGCAGCAGTGTGTCACAACAGGGACGCTCCCAAGCCTGTCCTGCCTTCCCACACTGAACTCAGAACCACTGTAGTGCGATTGGACTCCAGTGCGCCTAAGCATGGCCACCGGGGTGACCCTGGAGCTGCCTCACTGGCATATTTCCAGCTTACAGTAGGTGAGCAGGAGTAGGGCATGCTTTGGATGGTCCCTGCTGGCACACGCTGCCATCATGGCATACGTACACCCTCCTTGAAAACCACCTTGAAAGGGCCTCCTTGAAATCAGAGCTGATCCCACTTTTGACAAGCATTATAACAGAACACCAGCAGATTTCCCATCCCATTACCTCCATCTATATTAACATCGGACCAAAAAGCCATGTCCAAGAATGAAACCTGTGGATTTACTTCACAACACAGAGGATTATCAGTAAAGTAACTGGACCAGAAGCACAGTATATTTCTCCTTAGCACATTGAAGAGGATTCTACAGCAGTAATTGCAGATAATTAAAACCTCTCTCTGAACTGAAGCTACTTTAACAAGCCATGGAAAGTTCCAAATGGAAAGTCCAAAGCGAGATGGTGGGGTTTTTTTTAATATTCTATGATTATAAAAGGGAATTTTTCTTGCTATAAATAACCACAGGGATGGTAAAACCTGGCATTAACATAGCAAATAAGAGAATGGAACTGGTGACGGTCTGCAGAATTCTGAAAGCGAAGAGGGAAGTGAGCGCCGAAATGGGGAAGTGGATTTTGCATCGCTTGCTAATGATAAAATTAAAGGATCCAGCAGTAGAGAAGTAACCTATTTCTTAGTTCCTGCTTGGCCCTTCTAAAGTACCTAGGCACTTGCTAACACAAGGGACGCTTTCACATCACTTTTAAATACTGCCTCCTTAGGTCTCCCAGCTGGATTCCCAGCCAAGGGCGCTGACATCAGGTATGTAACCAACTCAGTCTCTCTCTGCAATGGACCTGCACACAAGTCTAATCAGTCTTTGTGCAGTAATGACAGGATTCTAGGTACGTTTACGTAACAAGCATGAGTCTTCTAAGTTGCTATGTCATTTTTTCACCCATATACTTGCACAAGTTTGCACAGGTCTGTATAACTTTATTAAGCTGCAGGGTTCCAATGTCTCCCCTACATGCTTGGCAGTTTGGACACTACAAGGTAGGTCCCCTGGGGTGGCGCACAATGCCAGAACACCACTGAATTCAAGGAAGTATCGCCTTTTCCACCAGCTAAAGCTCTGCCTCTGTAGTTTTAACCCTCCCCCCCAAACTTCTCCTGGAAAATAACTTCTCTGGATGATGGGAACGTTTTATTTTAAACAAGTTTAAAGCCCTTGAAAAACAGCAATAGCGTTTAATAATTCAGGTGAATGATATGGAAGGCCCCTGGTAGATGTTATACTTAAAACATGATTAACCAGTTAATCACGTCTTAAGTAGTAACCCAGCCACACATGCATGCAATTAATGGTGTGATAAAATGGGGAATAAGCCACAAAGCTATTAAACAAAATATGCTTAACAGCTTTATGACTGGTTCCCACTGCACCTTAAATTCAATGCATGGCTGATCAGCTGACTGGAGCTCCCAGCTGTGCACACACCAGACACCTGGCTTGCTGTTTTCTGATGTAGGGGGAACACAGGATCAAGATCCAGTCTTGCACCAGCAAGAGTGCAATTAATATTTGATCCCCAATCAGATGAAGAGTGTATGATATGGCAGGAGGTACAATTGTAAGGACTGCAGATCCCTTTGCACCTTTAACTGAACATCTATCAGCGGCCCAAGGTGGAGACTCAGAGTATGACAGCGGCCAACAAATACATTGGAAAAAACGGAAAGGCCAAAATTAAGGAAATGTGTTTTGCTTTAACGGGGAGTTCCAGGCAATAAAATCACAGCCAGTTTTGAGCACAGAAAAGGATGGCTGTATCTGATAATACTATGAGCAAGAAGAAAGGGTGATGAATGCAAATAACACCCCCAAATGTATTTCAGTCCTAGTTCCAAAACGATCCTTAGTGGTTTGATTCAGCTGGTATATGCAAGACACTTAATCCTTCCTTTCTTCAGCAGAACGAGAGCAGCTAGGCCCTTCACCATTAGCAAAGACAGAGAAAGGCCTGGAGAATGGTGAGGAACATGGATGCCAAAAAACTTCTTGGGAGGTGGGAAGAACGCCAGCAGCTTTTCCAGGCAGGGACAGATAGCAGGGAGTGCCTCCAAAGAGGTCACACAGAGCATACAGATGGATCAGTGAGACTGGAAAACGCTTATACAAACCAAACCTCCAAAACAATTGACATTACCCTATCACCAGTAACAAGTCCCAGCGTAACTGGGAATCTCAGAACCATGCTATTGATTAATGCTGAGGTTGGCAATCTTTGATTCTTCCTCCACATTAACAGGAAACATTTCCATTAAACATTGTCTAGACAGAAAATATGCAAACTCTAACCTGTAATCTACATTCAGCATGATGAAGACCCTTTGAACATTTAATACAATGCTCAATAAAGACTTATTGTTTCTGGCACTGCATCAGGCTGCCAGGGTGTGCATTTTAAAAGCATGTGTTGGGCTTCTTAAGAAATATATCAGATCGGGTCATCTCAATTGAACTAAAGCAGATTTAAGAGATGCAATTTTATTTACTTCAAGGACAAGATCTTTAGAGTCTGTGCGCTCCTAAAAGCCAACATGTTCAAACAACATCTATTTTAAAAGATGGATATTTTATATTTTGTAAAATTTGGCAATCCATTTTACGTACCTTGACTCCATCCAGAACAGCTTTTATGACATCTTTAACCGTGGTCACCACCTCTTTGTCCTCCGAGTTCACACCTTCCAGCATTACCTGATCAGACCAACGAATCAGATTGGCCAGACTCTGGTAGACACGGTTATAGCAGGAAGAGATAGCAGAACTAGAGGAGGGGGAAAAAAGAAATGCAAGAGAAAAGAAAATGAAATTCTGGAAAAATTCCCTTACGAAACAAAATTACAATAAATCTGAATTTTCCTCATTAACTCTGTCTTTAGGAATTTAGGATTTAGGAATTTGCATTTATTTAAGACACAAGTTTCTCTTCTGTTGCAGTTGCTCTGCTGATTCCTCTACTAGCAGATGAAATAAGAGTAAGAAGAAACATTTTGATAATTTTGAAAATCATTTTCTCAGTGTCTGTAACCCCTGAATGCATTTGACTAAAATCCAACCCCTTAACATTTTTCTTCAACGCTGCAAGAGTCCAACATTTTTCTTTTGAAACTCTGGATTACCACAATGCATTTCAGGTTTTGTTTTTGCTTTTTGTTTTGTTTTTTTTTTTTGGGGGGGGGGGGGGGGTTGGGTTTTTTTTAAAACAAGAAACAGAACTGACATTATTCTTTTGAAGAACCACATGCTTTGAGGGAGGATGAAAACACTAGCTAAAAGTAAACTGTAACACAACTGCTTTCAGGCTTGGTCTCACCTGCTCTGAAAACATTCATTTTGTTAACTAATAAGGTACGTTGACAGTAACAGTAATGGCGATGCTCCCATAACAGTCTTTTAAAGCCATGGTAATTTCAAGCTTCATGAGAAATTGGAGAATAGCTTTCCAAGCACCTCTGGACCAACGGAGAACAATACTCCCGCGCTTCTCACTGATGCAAGGCTCCCCACAAAGGTCTGAGTCGCCTCCTGGATCTGTTGTGCGCTGCTTTAACTCCAGCACAGTCATGACGGGGGTGGGGGGAAAACCAGGCCCACTGATTTCAATGAGTTTGCTTGAGAGAATGAAGTTGGCAGAATCTGGCCCCACTTGAATAACCAAGTAATTTCAGGCTTCAAAGGCAGGACTTCAAACAAGGGAGAGCACATTTTTTTCAGCACTATGGTGCTTGTCAGCATCCCCTCTAATTTTACGTGAAGTTAGCTTGAGAGCAGATATTTCCTAAACAGTGCCTCCCCGATGCTTTCCATGGTTTTGATTTCTTTACCATTAGCCTTCGATCTGCTTCCTTTTAAGCAGGCAATAATTGAAAAGCCCACTTTTTGTACCTGATGTAATTACTCTTTTGGTTTTTTTGTCCTCAGTGCAAATGCTTCCCTGAAAGCAGAAAGGAATTTCAGCAACAACTGCCTGGCTTTCTTCCACGCCATCCCAGACTCGCCCATTTTTCTTGAGGGGGATTTAACATCAAATCTCCCTTTGTGCCTTGCCACTACTTGAAAGGAATAAGGTACATAGGTATGCTACGAAAGGACGCTGGTTAACGAGTCTGCCAAATCCCCGCTCACTGAACGGGGCTATACTTGCTCAAACACGCATATGGGATTCATGCCCTAACAGATTTTGTCTACAGAAGGTCATCGTTGCTCGATGAACAACACTAGAGTATACCCCATGCCAACCAGGGAAGACTAAATTCCCTGCTTAAATTCTGACATCCAGTGTCCTTATCTCCTTATTTAACCATCAGAAAAAAGTTTGTACATAACTTGAAGAGAAAAATCTTCTAACCCTCTTCTGCTTGAGGACAGTTTAGAGGATATTTCTGTTCCTGGGTGTATGCTACTTTTCAACCTCCCTTTTTAAGAGACACTCATCCAACAAATGCCCCGAGAAGATATGAATGAGTCAGCGAGGCAATGATGAGGTTTTCTATCCTTAAGATGCTTGCTGACATTTTACATGCTCACCCGGTAAGAGTTAGGCGAATTTCTTTCATTCTTTTTCCGTAGGTAAAGGCAGGTACTAGTCAGCAGTTCACTGGCTGGGGGAAACCTGAGAGCGGCCAAGGAAAGTCTTGAGTCTCAGTCCAGAGATATGGATTATATTTTATTATATTTCAATTTAACAGCCTCTGTTCTTCCTAGCTCTATGGACATAACCCATAAACGGTGCTCTCCCACCCCTAGTACACTTCTAGCCTGTACCAATATTCTCTCCACCCACTGTATTGTCAAGCTCTGAGCCGAGCCTACCCCCTATAGGCAAATACAAAAGGTCTGTGCCATGCTGATCGGCCAGACTTTTTCTCTAACAAATCACTTCTTATGCTTGACTCATCCAAATCAGACCAGGAGGAAAAGAGTGCTTTGGCCCCTGAGGTGTCTCCTGTAACAGCAGCAACAGTTCAGCGGAGGACATTTCCAACGCTGCTCACAAAACAAGACCAACAGGCATCCTGTGTCAAAACGCAGCTGTAGTCAGGAGTGTTCAGCAGGGGAAACTCAAAAGAACAGCACAAACCCTGGCAACATTTCAGGATTCATGCACCTGCATTTTCCGGTCTATTCCGATTCTTTTTTGTTCGCAGCACATGATTTAAGTGATTTGCTTTGTTTGGGTTTTTTTAAGCAGCTGCTCCAGCAATCAAGGAAGGGGTAATCCAGCAGGCAGGTTTCTGGCCCGTAGTTGGAAGAGTTCTCATAACCCACAGTGAGCTAGTGGCCTTGCCAACTCACTAACTCTCTCCTGGGCAGCCTCTAATTCACCATCAAGGATTCATGCACTAGGAGTCAGAGAAGAGCCAAACAGAATCCACTCAAAAAGGTATGCGTTTTGAGATCAATTCAGCAATATTCTTCCAAAGTCAATGGAATCGCATCTGTTTACATAATTTCTCTATTTGGCCCAACAAAATCCAAGGAGCAAATTCCAGGCAGACTGAAGACTTCTCCGATATTCCCATGGATGAATTTCACACAAAGTTATTATTTGGAAGATGACCTCTCTTGTATCCAAATACTGTCTGCTTGGGTTTACTGCTGTTAGCTGAAGTATAAGCAGAGTATCTGATGGAGACTCACTGAGTGTTAACCATACCTCATTTTCCTGCCCTTTCCCATTTCAGTCCTTCCTTCTCACCCACAACCTTTCTCTGGTTCCCCTTCCTGACCTGCCATCCAATATTTTGCTCGTCTTACGTTAGGGTGCAATCCCTTTGCACCAAGGAACTTGGCTTTAGATTCACGTCTGTGAACTGCCCTGTAAATGGGAAACTGTTTTTACTAACGATTAGCAATGGCAGCAATTCATGCAACTTCTGTGGCACAATTTTTCCAAAACAACTAGATGCAAATTGCCTGGTGACTGCGTCTCCCCTGCTTACAGTCCTCTGAGGAGCAGCTTACCTTTTTTGAATTCGCTGATCCATCTGTACCAGGGGCAAGATGGCCTCCAACACTTTACTTGCCGAGCCTGGCAGCATCTCCAGCACTTTCTTGTCAATCGCCATTTTATCCACTATCGTCTTAAAATAGCGCAGGGCACTTACAACCTCTTTCTCCTTCTCGTCTAACCAAAATACATTCTAAAGGAAAATTGTTGGAGAGAAAATAAAAGAAGGTATTATACGCTGTCAGCATTTTTTTCAGAAAGTACAGTAAGTTTATTAAGACTGGAATAGCATGCATTGAACCTTCACCTCAAATTTAAATCTCAATTCTTGCAGAAGAATAATCAAGATGTTATTTATTTTTAGCAGAAACTCTTTCCTAAGTGTTGATCTTCCCCCTCCACACAATGGGTGGTGAGTTGGGAAAATTAATTTGCACCCATAATTTAATAGACTTCAGTCGTTTGTAGCTGAAGCTCACATATTACTGATGAGTCACCCCAATTCTGTTGCTGAGGAACCAAGAGGGACAAATAATGCCCATGCTCTCCAAATGAGAGAAGACGACAAAGCCACGTGCAAGATGGCAACAGCGATTCAAACAAAGTGATGGCAACGGCTGGTTTCAACAGAGGAGGCATTTTCCCCTTCTGATCACAATTCTAGTTGCTTTATTAGTGGGACTGGAAACCCAGTGTCTACTCTCTTTTTCTCTCTAATGGACAAGAACCAATTTTCAAGTGGCTACCAGTTTGGTAAAGTTTTGCTTTTCATGATCTTCCCATGGAGCTGGGACTTAATAAAAAGGACGCATGGAGGAATACCATGAAAATAAAACAGGGCTTTAAACTATACTTTGGAGGTAACGCTTTGCGAGACTGCCTAAGTGACTTAGGAGCAAGCCCCTTTTCCCCAAAATGCCTATACGTCTTACTGATGATGGGGAAAATCCAAAACCTAAACGACTTTGGTGCATTTGATAATGGTATTCTCAATCAAACATGGAAAAAAATAGAGAAAAATAATACTGCAATCAAACTTCCGAATAGCAGTATGACTGAAAACTGGTTCCTATATTTTCAGACCCATCACTGGTGTTTAGTGATAAACATCATGTGTAGCCCTACCCTATTTAGGGCTGCTGATCTCCACAGGACTATTCATGCAAGTAAGAACTAGTTTCAGGCTCTGTTCTGATCAGCCTCCTCCTGCCAAATTCATTCAGTGATGCTGCTGGAACAAGGGGAAAAAAATCACCCATGAGGATGAACTGTGAAAGGCATCAGCAAATGAAGCCTTCAGGAGGAAAAAGTTCAGTTAGAAAAAGCTTAACCATGGCTATCAACAGCCTCACAATCAGCAGTGTTAGACAAGGAAATTCAGAAATGCGATGTGATGGCTTAATGATGTTCGGGTAAAGGATAGATATTTTTTTTAAGTTCGCCAGATCATGCCTAGGGGTCTTGTAATGCTGGGAGTAACTTCCTATGGGAGAGATCTAAATTAACAATTGAGCACTGTTAGAAGGGGAGCAGAGAGCTTAACAGAGTCAGGTTTCATCCATTATCTCTTCAGCAGATTCAGCTTCAAGAATTAATGACCTATGGGCATTATGTTCTCCCATATTCCCATCAGCTGTTAAACTGCTGCTTTTCTGCAAAGCAGGGCCAGCAGCCGACCTCCTTTGGACAAGCCATTTATACAAGCAGCACTGGCAAGTAACATGAACTTAAGGCTGGATCCACAAAAGGCCTGAGTTTGCCTGAAATTACTATAAATTTGCCCAAAATTGCAAGCTCCAAGACCCCCCACTCTACTGCCTTCCTAACCCACAGCATGTACAATGCCATCCTCGTGCCTCAGCTCAGTCAGGATCCTCCACCTACGTCTCCTGAGGGCTCAATCTTGTAGGGATACTGGAGGTTTCCCAACTGCTCAGGCTCTGCCCAGGACACTGTAGCTGTTGCTCCTTTCTGAACATGACCGGCAGTGGTAGCAGGACCTGGCTGCTCCTCCACCTGGCATGCAGTAGTGCTCTGACTACTGAGCCTTACTCAGATTTGAGTTTCACTCATCCTCAGCTGAAGGAGATTCAAGCCCCTTCCTGGCGAGTGCTTTAACCATCAGGCTATTTGGCTATTCTAGGGTGGGGGTACTCTTGACTCCTTCCCATCAAAGCAGTTTCATCTTGTATGGAAGAATCAACTATTTCACTAGCCAGAGACACCGGACATGCACCAGGGAGAGCGCAACTCCCACCTTGTGATCGAGGCACTCATTTAAAAGGGAGCAGTCCTGAATTCCAGTACCTGCCCCAGCACCTATTCACATGCTTTATCCACAGCCTGGAGATCAGGGTACCCTCCCGGAAGCAGGAAATGAAGTGGCTTTGATTCTACTTTCAGAACAAAATCCGGAGCGGCGAGAGAGCTACGAACTAATATTCCCTAAAGTCTACCTGCTGCATTAGGGGCTCATCCACCAAATATTTTAATCTGCGGGAGAGAGATGGGTGGTCCAGTCTGATTGCTACAGGAGGCTTGAACAAGTCTCTTCTTTCAAATTCCACTTGCGGGGGACCTGCCCTAACAGTGAACTTCTGCTGGCAACAGGAGGCCAACAACTGCTGAAGTCACAAAAGCAGAAATTCCACTCGGTACAGCCATTTCCCTCTTGGGCAGTATGTGAGATGGATTTACTACTCAGCCAAACCAATAATTCCCCCCCAGCTCTCTGCTTGACTGACACATGTGGATATCATTGCATGATTCTGGAAGGTTTCCCTCAAATAATCATTACAATTGCATTATGTATGAGATGCAGTTGACCTTGAAAGAGGTACAGTGAGTGTGGAGTGTACAGTTGATGATTAGATGTGGGATATATCAACCTCACAGTCTTTTCATAGCAACAAGCCTTAATTTAGGTTTAATCTTTTCATACTGTTGCTTCTGCTCTAGCTAGTTTATCTACTGTAAGATGCGCATAGCTTCTCCAGGATTTAGAAGATGGAGAGATATGAAATCTGCTCAGTCATGTCTGCCTTTTGACATTGTGTATCTTAGGGAAATCTCTAATTTGCCAGCTTCTCTTTACAGTCCACTGAGACTCGGTGATAATGACCCAAGGGCACCCTTCCTCCCCCCCAGCAAAACTAATCAGCTGGCTACAATCTAACTAATCAATTAGCTGGAGACAGCCATTAAAATGGATTAGGACTGAGCCAGAGATCAACACTTCACAAATCACGAGGCTTGCAGTCTAAATGCTGATCCACAAGAGCCAATTTATCAAACATTACCATAAACTGAGCTGCCTTCCTACTAAGAAATTACTGTAAGTGCTTTACTTTCCTCATAATGCAATTCCAGTTCCTACATTTTTTTAAACCGCTTTTATATGCTCAGCAGATTCCTGATTTTCCCCACTTTATTCTTTAGGGAAAAACAATGAAGCAACTGGCCTGTATTTTTCCCCCCCCAGGGGCATTTTTTACAGTATTTTTCAATTTCAGTAGGTCCTACGCTGTTTGCCATCAGATACCAGTTAAAAAGAAACACTACAGCACTTTTAGCATGCATGCTAGTGATTCTGTCAATAAAAATAAAATAGTGCAAATTCCTCCCCAATAAATAGCATATGGACAACAGGAAGATGCACTCTATTGGTGCGCTGAGTTGGTCCCTATGTATTAAGTTTACATGTCATCCTATAATTGCCTTGAAATTAATGAGACCTCTCTAAGAAGGATTCCAAGAGAATTTTTAATAAAAACAACAGCCTGTGCTCTCTTGTTCGGCATGTTTTGCTCCCTAGGTTTCGGATGCTCGTACAGTAAAACTTAATATTCTATTAATCAGAGCTCTCTCTCTGTTAGCTTCTATTCCCTCTGCTTCATTCGCCAAGAAAAAGACTCAGCTGAAGTGAAAATAAGAAACAAAATGAGATTTTTGGATTTTTCTCCATTGACTGCCTTAACAGGCCCCTCAAATTCAAAGCTGCACCCCAGAATTCAGTGTCAAAGCCCCAACCTTAGCAGACTGGTCTCATCAGCACAAGGAAAGCCCTCATTGAAATGGAAGCCGAGTACTGCGATTCGCTGCTGCCAACTGCATTTCTTCCCCACTGAAACGTGGCAGGTTACTGCTTTAGAAAACAGCATTTGGATTTGATTCTTCTGCACTGCTGTGTTAGAGGTTTCTTTAATATCTATGATTTGGGTTGATTTACAAGTTCTGGGCTCTACACCACCACACTCGTATGTCATTTAGTAGCTGTCGCAGGAAGGCTGCTCTTGAGGATAGCTGTAAAGAAGCTGCCTTCTCGGTGGTTCACCTCTCTCAACAAGACCACTTACAGGTCAGAGTCAGGAGCCCATGTTTTTTTTCCTTTGCTCCCTGAATGAAAGCTCTTTTCCAACCCTGCAAGGAGTGTGAAGATCCTTCTAATTTTCAATCATTCACAATTCAACCCCACAGTGATGGGCATGACTCCCTTTTGGGGCTGACATGAATGCTCTACAGCTGTATAAAGTACCCGTCTTCCTAAGAAACAGGCACATAGTCTCCACTGCAAAACCCAGGCTGGGATTTGAAGGCCAGAGTCTTCCACATCGTGCTACCAGGAGCCCTCCAAGCTGTGCAACAGGCCAAAAGGGTAGAATTACTTAATATTATTTTCAAACTGCATGAGTCCACTCGGCCATCTTCACTAGGAGTAACCTACAGGAGTTTGTATAGTTAGTGTGGTACTTTGGATTGATCGCTAAAATCAACTATGGGGAGAAGAGAGTTTGCAGGTTACCATAAGAAACCTCAGTCGTTGGTAATGTTAGACCAAATTCCACTTCTGAAAATTGGAAGTCTAAGCCTTGTCAGAGATAAGTGTTTCCGTTTGCCTAATCAGGTCAGAAGAGGGGTGGAGGTACAGGGGCAAAAAGTTTGTCTTAAGAGAAGCAAACTTAATTCTCATAGGGCTTGAAATAAAAAGATTGGATTTGAGGAAGGGTGTGCAGAAAGTCAGCAGCTGTTTGAATACTTTTGTTTGACTCTCCCTGGTGAGGTCACCAGAGACTGAGCACATCTTTGGACCAGTTCCCCAAAACCAAGCACAGATTTGGAAGTTATAAGCATAACCCTTGGGCGTATGTGTGAGGAGGGGTTGTCAAGCCCAAATGCCACATTCCATCCTGAGTCATTTAAAGGCTCATAGAAGGAGCACTCAGGCTCTCAAAAAGGAAAAAGTTGCATGCATTGACTGATCCTGCTTCCTGTAACCTATGCTAAATGATCCCCTGAGAGGGTTCTTCTGGGACACATCTCTGAAGAGCCCTTGCACATCTCTTTGGAGGAAACAGCTCCATGCACACTACCAATGAAGTCGGTTTTAAAAGACAATCCAGACTACCCAAGCAGGCAGGAAGCTGGCAAGAGTGCAGCCAAGAGCGTGCCACTCATCTGCTTACTTTGTTCACGGTCTTCTCTGGCGTTTTCACCGGCGGCTCAGCCTGTTTGCCTTTCTTTGACGGCGTCCGCTTTATTTTTGGTGAATGAAACTTGTCTATCAGCTTCATGGTGAACGAGGAGAGATGGGAGCGCTGAGAATCTGAAAAGAAGCACAGAGATGAATTATGAGATGGGACAGGCTGGTGGTGCTATCAACCTATCTACAGGAGCAGACTCCGAAATACAGAGTAGGCCTGGTAAATGTACGGGGTAGGGACAGGACCAGCACATGTGAAAATCAGTCAACACTCACCACCGCTTCTCATCCCAGACACAGCTATTGTGAAAAGCAGACAGATGAGCAATGGGGCTGCTCTTCCTCCGTTATTTAACGAACCAAGTACTGATATTGCCTCCAATTATTTCCTATATAGTACTTTTCCTCAGTAGGTCTCAAAGAGGTAAATCATTATCCCCATTTGGCAGACAGGGAAATTGAGCCTGAGAAACCACCTGACTTGCCTGCGATCACCCAGTAGGCTCGTGACAGAGCCAGGAATAGTGCTGTGGTCTCCCGAGTGCCAGGCTGACACTGAACTCACCAGGAAACACTGTCTTTAGTGCTTTTGGTATGACGAGTCTGACCCAAGTTGTTTCGACGCTGACAATGGGTCTCAGCTCAAAATGGACCATGAGAAGGCAAGTCTGCTCCCATATCAGTCACTCTTACAGAAGTTTAATTAGAGAACTGAGTAAAGCAATATCCTCATGGAAGAACACACTTCTGTTTGGGGAAAGCAAATCAAGAGCTTTTGAGCTTTGTGAGCATCTAAAAAAGGAAGACCTCCAAAGGTCTACGATCCTGTTCCTTACAGATTTGCTGCTGGCATATTTTTAAGTGTTCAGCTCTGGAGCTAAATAAAACTGCTGAACAGTGAGCAAGCTGGAGGGTATTTATAAGCAAAATGCATTTTAAGAGGCAAGCTGGTGACCAAGAAAACTGTGCTGGCAGGCAGCGGACTTGCCTTCAAGATCATTGTTGATATAAGCAAATGTCTCCCCTTAAGCTTCCCTCATGCTGGGAATGGACTGCCCGAGTAAGAGAGAGACGTTCCCACGTAGGCGCTGCTGCAGGTCGACTTCAAATAAGCAGATTTGACTCAGCAGCCTCTAGCACTCGGCAGCTAAATATCACAAAGCCACGTTAACGCTGCTCCACGTTCACCAAGTGCTAACCACAATGTGGGGGAAGGAGCCTCCCACGCTTTCTTCCTTAAATTCATTACTAGCTCTGTTGACTATATCACATCAAACTCCCTCCTCTTCGTGCCACCTTCACTAGGGGCAGCTACATCAACTAAAAAGATACTTTAGGTTAAATTTTTACAGGCCTTAAGCTCTGTGGTCACTGGTTACATCTGGGCAAGAAGAAGAAACCGCATTCCTAGCAGCTACCTTCGATCAGTATTTAGTCCGAACACAAACGTCTTGCTCCACAAAGCGCGGAAAGGCCGCTGTCGGGCTGAAAAAGGCGGCTGTAAAAAATAAGCTTTTACAAAGCCCGAGACCAAGAGCAACACCTCAAAATCTTACAGCAGAAACAGACTCTCCAGCACACACACACTTCCTCTAGCACCACAGCATTATAGGTGAGCCTGTAAGTGCTAATGACCAAACACGGAGGAGGGAACATACCCAGCGAACCTGGTTAGTTGATGCCTATTTTTGCAAGCTAATAAAGTCACAAGGGAAAAAAAAAGTCAGCATAAAGAGTGAAAAGGAAACTTTGGTACTAAAATATGCAGATCTGGTCTTTAAAAACAGGATCCAAAATCAGGTGCTGAACTTTATTTACTGCAGTATGAAAGCAAAGACGTTATTGTAAGCACTTAAATCCAGATGCAAGCACTTGAATAAAAGTGGACTGTCAAACTCAGCAAGCACGTCCAGCTCCCATTCATTTCACCGAGTGGTCAGCGCCTCCGAAAATCAAGTCCCTGTCATCAAGCACCTAAATCCTTAGCAGGCCAAATCTGACAAATTGGGGTGTCAGATACTAATGTAGGTAGGAAAAGTTAAAAAAGAAGATTTTTTTTAAACACTTCCACGGGCCCATTTTATGGCACAGGAGGCATCTTTCAACTTCCTCTCTCTCTTTCCATATACCAGTAAGCTCGATCAACACTGGAAGTAAAGAAGAAAAAGAAAAAATTGCCAATACACAGCAGTGTGAGCACAAGAAATGCAACTGATTGAATCAAATCCATGTTCAGGTTTCAAGAAAAGGCAGTCACCCACTAGAAAAAGCAGAAGGTCAGAGTTGAGATATTTCCAAACTTACAAATAAATGGTCGATTCTTCCCATGAAAGAGAAGTCTTAAAACTAGAAGACATTTTTTTTAAGTTGGTTTGAGAGGCCTGATGGCATCTGTCACCATCCGAGAAACACAGGTTTGACCACTCTTAAATGATAACATACAGGTGTACGGTACAGGCCCAATGCTCAGCTAGTCGTACTCATAAGATGGCAGGCACTCAAACAGCAAACGATAAGGAAAATCCCAACTTCCCTACCCCGTAAAAGCCACTGAAGTAGAACATAAGTAGGGGTGCACCAAGAGAGATTTTGGGGGCCGATGCCAATAGCCTATTTTTAAGGAGGCATATTGGGCAACACCAATCCAATTTCCCCGATACAGATGCATGCAGTTGGCAAGTCTGTTGTGGTGGAAGGGCGGGGGGGGG